GTGTGTGTGTGTGTGTGTGTTTTGTGTGTGTGTGTGTGTGTGTGTGTGTGTGTGTGTGTGTGTGTGTGTGTGTGTGTGTGTGTGAAGAAGTGGCATTTTCTCTTTGAACATTAGGGTAGTAAAGATGATATCAGTGTTTTGGATGTACCTCTTGTGACTTGTCCTTGGAGAGAGCCTCTCTCTGCAGAATGAAGGCTTTCTTCTTGAAGAACAAGTCTCGCTTAATTTGGTCCTGATATGCCTTCTCTTCATCTTGGGATTCCTCCAAATTCTGCACGGATGCGAGTTCTCATTTCAGGCACTGACATGCTCAATTATTTATTTATTTATTTATTTAAACAGGGCCTGATGGTCCTGGCTCCTTGTATTCTGGGGAGCGTCAGTCCGGTTCCTATTCCACCGGCAAGTCAGAAAATGCATTACATTACAGCAGAAACTCACGCTTCCTTCCGTTTGGCCGAAGGACCCCTAAACAGCATTGATTACTCCACCGTTGGTGGAGGATTGACTGTCAGCTTGCCATGACTCACTCTTTCCTCTCAGACCTGAAAAACCAGCTCTGCCAGATAGTGCTATGTCACCTAGAAAAAGCTCGCCCATTATTTCTGCTTGCCTGTGCTTTCCCCCTCATCAGCCGTGCCCATGAGTCAAGGTATCCCCTATCCCATTAAGCCTTCCCCCTTCTTTTGAACGCTACAAAAACCTAAACCCTAACCCCTCAGCCAGCGGACCTCACTTTCCCTTCTGGGCTGGGATTTAGGACCGTGTATCTGTTTCCTTTGAGTGATATGGGAGCCTGTCTTCCTTGTATCCTTAACTCTAACATCCTCTGAGTCAACCTTTCCTCCCTTGCTCCAGCCTTCCGGTGGCGCACATCCATTCCCAGGCTGTTCCTCAACGGACGTGATGATATAGGTTCGTCGTTTTCTCTTTGGGATTCTGATCAGGAGGTGCCTTGCCCGTGCGCATCTATCTGCTGCCGAACGCTTCTTCCTGAGTTTGAGTTGTGCCAGTCCTTCCAGCGGATGCGGTTGTCTCGTAAATCAGCAACTTTCCCGTTTATCAACCATACCCTGCTGAATCTCAGTCTCGCCTTCTTTTGTTGTTCCTCATCCTCCGAACATGATAGTTTGATTTTCCGCCATCTGCAAAGGATTTCAGCCTGTATCATTGTTTTCGTCTCCGCCCAGATCATCTCTCGTGAGTTGGACACTCTTTCGATCGTTCTGCTGCATCTTTCCTTCCATATGACCCTTAGGGTCACCTTCCTGATAAGTCCGGACCAAATATTTTCCGCTTTCCTGAGCTGCTCAGGGATGTTAGTCAGAAGGAGAAGTTGGATGGGTTGTTCAGGGAAAGGGGTCAGGAAAAGGGAGTCCCAGAGGGTCGAGGCTCTCGCGCAGTAATCTGTCACCTCCCTACAGTGTACTAAGTAGTGTACTATGTCCTCTACTGCACCCTCTGTACATACCTTACATTGATCACAACTGTCGGGGTCTGAACTCTTCCGCCTAACGTGTAACCACTGGTTAACTGGTAGTGCCGCGTATATGATCAGCCATTGAAGGCTTCTGATTTTGATTGGTCTGCTCGTTTTATAAATCTTCCATGGGATCTGTGTGATGTTGTCGGCTTCCTGACCTATTAGCTTCTGCCACCTGGCCTTGATAGCCGGTTCTGGGTCTTTTGTTTTTAGCAGTAGCTTGTACCCAAATTTGACCGTGCAATCCTGTATGGGGGTGAGCGTCTTAATGTTTGTCCTCTTTTCTGGTTTCCATGCCCACTCCATCGGGTCCAACTCCAGGTTGTGTAATGCCGTATCGAATCTGAAGATAAACTTCGGCCATGTGCCTAACACCCTTACTTTTCTGAGCAAGAAGTAATCCATGACTGTCGTTTCCACGTTGGTGTTCATAATCGACGGCATTCCCTTCGTGGAATGTGCAATTGGAAAGGAGGTGAACACCGCTTGAGTAGCTGATCCTCGTTGTAGGTGTGAGAATTGGAAGGCCCTAGAGGGAGGATTCTCCTGTACTTTGACCCCCCATTCTCCGCTTTTCCAAGGCCCCCCTTGTTTCAGCATATCTTTCCACTCCTGAGGGACAAGATTAGTAATGTACTGCAGGTTAGGTCCTCTTCTATGACAACCCTTCAATCGTGCACTTAGCTCCTGCTCAGACACCCATTCCTTCTTCTCTTCTTCCACAAGTGGGTAATTGTCCAAACTCCATTCTTTACCCATGACAGTCATTCGTGGTCTAAGAACAAGGGTTCATCGCTTTCGCCCTTCAACCACTCATTGCCAAACAGAGGCTGTCTCAGCACCTCATCCTCAGATTTCGGCCTATTAATCTTTTTTGGCATTATTTCCCTCCAAATCCGGATTAGAGCCGCCCAGTACGGCGTTTGGCGGTTGTCTATGTTCCGCTCTATTTCCCTCCTGGGTCTTCTCCTCACCTTTTTCAAAGACCATTCCTTATTCATTACCCAGAATAGACCCGTCATGTTATTTGGCGATGACCCCGGGGCTAGGGCCCTTATGCTGTCCAGGGCCAGCTTATTCCATGCCGTTTCTGGTTTCGTCAACAGACGGACTATCCATTTGACTTGAAGGGCTCTCGTCTCGCACCTCAGGTCAATGATTCCTAGCCCCCCCATGTATTGGTTTTCTTGAGATGACTGTCATGCTATCTTTGGGATACACCCTTCCTTGTTGGGGTTCAATGTAATTTTCAATTTCTGTTCTTCATTACAAGACCGCAAAAGGATGGAGAGCAGCCTGCACGCATGTTGATTTGTGTGTGTGTGCGTGTGTGTGTGCGTGTGTGTGTGTGTGTGTGTGTGTGTGTGTGTGTGTGTGTG